GGAAGTTGAGCTTCACGCTCACTCTGTGCGTTCTGGGACTGACAGTGGACCGGAGAAAGTGTTGGGCAGCTCGGCCACTCTCAGCGGCTTCTCCGGTACGCTGTCAGTCCCACAATTCACAGCACGAACGTGAAGCTCAACTTCCATAGGAATTTATTGAAAATGCTCGCTCTGCTCCGCTCGCTTCGTGCCAGTGGACATGCACCTATGGCAAGCCGTTTTAACTTTTATTCATTTCCAGGATATGAATACTTGATATCAACAATTCAATTTTCACTAGTTAAAATTATAATTATTGATATCAGGAATAATATTTATACTAGTAACAATGGCAATTTTTGATATCAGGAATTACATTTTCACTAGTAACAATGCTAATTCTTGACATCAACATTTACATTTTCACTAGTTAAAATGATAATTCTTGATATCAACAATTGAATTGCAACTAGTAAAAACTATAATTCTTGATATCTGTAATTGTATTTTCACTAGTGAAATGTCACCATAGGCTGCCATTCAAAATCAATTCTTGATATCAAGAATGTATTTCTTACTAGTTGAAATTCCAATTTCACATATCAGAAATACAATTCTTACTAGTAAAAACCTTTTTTTTTTTGATATCAAGAATTAAATTGTCACTAGTTGAAATGTCTATTCTTGATATCAACAATTGAATTGCTACTAGTAACAATGTTCATTTTTGATATCAATAATTCAATTTTCACTAGTGACAATGTTAATTTCTGATATCATGAATGTGATTGTTACTAGTAAGAAAGCCATTTTAGATATCTGAAATAATATTGATATCAGAAATACATTTTCAGATATCAAAAAAGAAAAATTTTACTAGTAGCAATTCAGTTGTTGATATCAAGAATAGACATTTAGACTAGTGATAATTTAATTATTGATATCAGGAATTCGTATTTTTACTAGTAACAATGTAATTATTGATATCAAATTATATTTCTACTAGTAAGAAATCAATTCTTGATATCAACAATTGATTTTGAATGGCAGTGTATGGTGACATTTCACTAGTGAAAATACAATTGTTGATATCAACAATTACATTTTTGATATCAATAATTCAATTGTTGATATCAAGAATTGAATTGTTGATATCAAGAATTCAATTGTTGATATCAACAATTGAATTGTTGATATCAAAAATGTAATTGTTGATATCAAAAAATTAAATTGTTGATATCAAAAATGTAATTGTTGATATCAACAATTCATATCCTGGAAATGAATAAAAGTTAAAACGGCTTGCCATAATGCACCGTCACACAAACACGCTTTTTAAAACAGCCGGCTATCTAGGGCTGTCGCGGTGAAGGAATTTCCCTTGCGGTAATTTTGAGTGGCTCAATAGCGCGATATGCGGTATTACCGCCATTTATTTATTTATATTTATTTGTTGCTATAAATACGTGTTATGACGTGGTCAGCATACACAAAAACAATGTAACCAATGTAACCGAAACTAAACAGCGTCTCTGCTAGGGGTGGAACGGTACATGTATTCGTATTGAACCGAAACGGTACGGGCGTCACGGTTCGGTGCACGAATTTGCACGCAGAATACACGGTACAAATAAAAAAAAAAACCTCTTAAATAGCGATAAATTTCGCTCTATTCGCTTTTGGTGTGACTGTTAACGCAGCAATGAACAGGCTGCGATCAAGATTGCAATGCAGGAGTGTGTGTGCGCGCGAGAGAGAGAGAGAGAGAGAGAGTGAGAGAGAGAGGCGCGATGAACAGTGTGTGTGTGTGTGCGAGAGAGAGAGAGGCGCGATCGAACAGTGTGTGTGTGTGTGTGCGCGCGCGTGCGAGAGAGAGAGAGGCGCGGGCGCGAATCGCGCGATGAACAGTGTGTGTGTGTGTGCGCGCGCGCGAGAGAGAGAGAGAGGCGCGGGCGCGAATCGCGCGATGAACAGTGTGTGTGTGTGTGTGTGTGTGTGCGCGCGCGTGCGAGAGAGAGAGGCGCGGGCGCGAATCGCGCGATGAACAGTGTGTGTGTGTGTGTGTGTGTGTGTGTGTGTGTGTGTGTGTGTGTGAGAGAGAGAGAGGCACGGGCGATCGAACAGTGGAAACGTAAAAACATACTCCGTCATTTTTTTCATACAGGACATCATTAAAACTGCAAATTGTTTACTTATATTTGTGTACACTGGCAATAAAACACAACATTGTGCTTTTGTCACACTCTAAACTCTTGTCAAACTGTAACCTACAACTGTTAACAAAAGTTTTTTATGGTAGTATTATTTTATACGGAAATCAATTATTTATAATTCAGATGCGAATAAAGTTAGTTAAATAAAATGAAGGAAAACAAATATCTTGATCTGAAATAGCAAATTAATTTTAAATTCATTCAGGTAGCCTACAATTACCAAACATATCTCAAGGTCTTTTCGTCTTTTTAATAATTTAATTAATAAACTAATTATATAAAACTACTGTCAGTGCACTACAAATAAACTGGTTCTATGCCTTTATTAATAAAACTTATTTAAAAAAATACAAGGTTTAAGACATTTATAAAAATGCCTTCTGCATTTTTGCTTTGCTTTTCACTCCATTGTACCGAAATCGTACCGAACCGTGATGTCTGAACCGAGGTATGAACCGAACCGTGACTTCTGTGTACCGTTCCACCCCTAGTCTCTGCGCATTGAAAGACTGTCACTCAGCGCGCAGTTACATTGTTATGCCAACGGACAGTCTTTGAGTGAGTCATTAAACCGTTCATTCAACGAAAACGTTAAAAAAATTAATTCCTTAAATGATAGATGTAATGAAACAAGGCGTTAATTTTTTTTTTTTTAAATTTGAGCTCCACTTTTCAAGGCTCAGCTGGCCAGCAATGCTTCACTTTTGGGCAAAGCTGAAGCAATGCTTCACTTAATAGAGACCAATGCGTGACTCGCTGCTTTCCCCCCACGGCTTCCTCGCGCTGTGTAATGCTGACCAGCGCTGCCGCCATTCATGGTAAATAGCCTACCCTTACACGTTAAAAGGATGATAGGACAAATATTTCGCTTTCCTTGGAAACGGCAACCTTTTCACGAATATACATGTCTTGACTTCAGAGACAGACGCAGGTAATTGCACGCGCTCAGTCGATCTCATTCACTGTCTGTTTAGGCTTAAGTCCAAATCCACGAAGCCTCTGCACAAATCACCATGATAAACAGTCTTGTTATCATTATTAACTTATTTAACATTCAATACACATGGTACGAACTACGAAGGGTGGCTTTATGAAAAAAGAAAACGCGGTTTGGCGGTTGCTGCGGTTACTTGCATTCCTCTGCGGTTGGCCTGTCAGTAGCGCGGTACCGCAATATTGCGGTTATCGCGACAGCCCTACGGCTATCAATCGGTAATTTGTGAAAATGTTGATTATGTATGTGTATTAACGTCTTCAGTCTATAGGCGCATAGTTTTTGTGACATCGCCAACTACTGGCCTGGCATCCATAACAGCGTTTTTAGTCGTTTTTGCGGAGGATCATTTTTACAACGTTGTCGTCTGTATGTAAAAAAAGCAAAGGAAAAACTTCTGTTTTTAGAACATCGCAAACGTACCCTTAAGAGTAACTTGCCCAACACTAGACGCTTTTCCACTGTTGGGCAAGTAGCCCCGCAGCGCTACCCTAAAACCCGCCCTTAACATGGCTTCATAGAACAACGTCACACAACCTCACCATTTCACCAGCTGACTGAAAACTAGCTAGATCGCAAAATGAGCATAACATAGGAAATGAGCACCAGTGTTGACCCTTTCCTCAGATAAACTCCGCCTTTGTTAATGACCACTCCTCAAGCCCCAGTTGGCCCACTTTGGACCAAGGCATTTTCCGGGCCAAAAACCCCTGGCCGCCGAGGAAGTCACGATGAGGCTCGATCAAGTGACAGTGGAAACGCACTAGCATGCTCGCTTTTGGCCCGACAGTGGAGACACAACCACTGTTTAGTAGACATAGTTTGTTAGCCAAATAACAACATGAGCATTTGCATGAAAAGTAAAGTCATATCGCATATGCCAAAAGTCATAGTACATTCACCCAATGAACTAGTCACATCCTATTAACAAGATAGTAATTATGTGTTCATATACACTACCAGTCAACGGTTTGAGGTCAGTAAGATTTTTTTGTTTTTTTAAAAATTGTCTTATGCTCACCATGGCTGCATGTATTTTATGAAAAGTACAGTAAAACAGTAATATTGGGAAATTTTATTACTATTTTAAAAAAACAACTATTTTAAAATGTTCTTTATTCCTGTGATGCAAAGCTGAATTTTCAGCATCATTACTCCAGTCTATAGTGCCACTTTCAGAAATCATTCTAATATGCTGATTTGCCTATCAAGAAACATTTCTTATTATTATCAATGTTGTTTGCTCATTTATGTTGTGCTGCTTAATATTTTCATGGAAACCGTGATGATTTTAACCATAACCATTTTAAATGCTCTTTCTTTTGGTACATCCTTGTCGTTATGCACCATCCATGCACTGGTGCACAAAATGTTCTGTTTGGAACAGCTAGTCTTGTTGATTATTGACTTGAGCTGATTTCTGTAAACATTTACCCAGCATAGTGGTTTGGTTAGACTGTAACTGTGAGTTGGGGCTTTCCAGTGATATTCATCTTTAGTGGTTTTAATGATTAAGTTATTGTTCAGTTTGTAAACCAGTTTGGTGAGGCTTGTATGGGATTTATAACATTTGTTGGTGGTGAAAGTGGTGATTGACTGACAGCTTGTGAAATGGGCTGAATGATTTAGATTTTTATAATGAAAAGATATGGTTTGATTTTAATACAATTTGAAATGAAATTGTATTAACTAAGTATTCACTTTCATGTTAGATTGCCATGCTAGAATGTTACAAATGACTACATCAAACGCATGTGCGTTTGAAAGTGGGATAAATATGCATTTGTACTAAATATACCTGTTTATTTTCTTAGGTGGCTGCTGTGGCTCTGATGACAAGCAATATACAGTGGGCGGCTGGGCCTGGGCATGGTGGCTTATCACTGACATACAGAAGTAAGAATGTCCATTCATCACATTTACTCCTTTTTTTGTGTGTTTATCGGCTCACAATATGAACAATAATTCTACCGCTGACTGAATGACACTTCTCCATTTATGTACCTTTCAGTTCCCCTTGAGTGGGAATTAGGACCATTATAGAGACATGTCACAGCATGCTCACGTTTCTCTGGCTAGACTATTATAACCTCTTATGAATATAAAATGTCCACTGTAAAGAAACTCAGGAGCTGTGCCTGTTGTTTTTCACATTTAACACTGTCAAATTAATGTATACTGTATAATCATTGATAGTAACTAAAATAACTAGTTTCCTAGCCAGAAAGGAAATATCGTAGGTAGCTGTTCTCACCATAGACATATTAAATACATAGACGCCCTATTGGCCGCTGGAGCGTACGTCAACGGCGCCGCCATGTTGGGGATGGCAACTTTCCCATACCGTCTCATACCGGGAATTGAGAAAAATGCCTGTTTCGTGTGCTGCTTGGGGCTGTACAAATCGCCACACAATTGAAAACAGGTCTCGAGGAATTACCTTTCACAAGCAAGACTGAACATTTGTTTTTGGTTGTATTTGGTCATGATTTAATTAGTAATAGTAACATTCAGGATAAATTTAAAAATACTACTGTTATTGTGTCACGAAATGTAGTTTTAATAGTTTTTCAGTCGACAATGTAGTTGTTTAAAGTTCAAATATGTGGTTTGTTTATAAAGATAGCGCCTAGGGCTGGGCGATAAAACGATAACGATAATTATCGCGATATAATTTTTCTCGATAAAACGATATCAAGAGGTCGATAAATGTTCGATAATGTGTATGCGCCAAAAGCGGAACGAAACTCATTTGAACCGCGCGCCACACGGACCGTTTATCCGCTCCGCTCAAAGTCCAAATGGCAGCGCGAGCTCACTAGAGCAGACGCGTTCGTCTCGCTCACGAGATCCAGTGAGAAGCGCTTAAGTTCAGCGAAGAACACAAATGTCCAGTTTAAAGGCAGATGAAACACCGCTGACAAACAGGAGAAACACTGTACGCAACGATACAGTCAGAATCTGAATTGAAACTGAATCCATTTAACCTACCATGGATTTACTGTAACGTTAGCCTAGTAATATTAACTGCACCATGAAATGTGGGAAATACATATTGAATTGTATAATATTATTAATGTAGACAATGTATTAAATGACTAATGGAATATAATTACAGTATTTAATAATGTATTTAACTGTTTGTAGGCTAATGTAGGCTACTGTTTTTCATACAAATACCATAGAAACCATAAAGTTACATTTTGCCATGATAGTGAGGTGCTAAGTTATAGGCTGTAACATTACCTGGCTTCTGTGGTTATCATGATCTAAATGCATGATACTGGATGACCAATGGTTAATTTTAATAAAACTCAAACAGTCAGAATATTACATTTTACCAAATAAAAATGTGGTCCTTAAATAAAAAAACAAACAAAAAAACAGATGTTACTGGTTTTGTTAATGAACATAAATTTAACATAGTAGCATTAGCTTGAGTTAGGATGTAGATTTACTGTCAACTCACTGTCAAATATGCATTTCGAGACAAAACATGTAATTTGAATATTGCAGCCTGCACTGCAAACTGTGCTGAAGAAATATTTTTCTTTTCAAATATTTATTTTGTTAAGGAAAAATGACAAATGTTTGAATATTCTACCTCAGATTTTTAAAACCACAACGCTCTGGTTTATACATCTTTCACTTAGGAGCAAAAATCTGCCTTTAAACTTGAAAGAAATAAAGATTTGACATTTATCGTGATAATTATCTCGGCCAGTGCTTCTGACGTTTGCCGCTGGTTCTGATGTCTCTAGTCTAGTGGTTAAACATGAGATATAATTCGTCTTGTGTATATCTAACGGGCGATCTTTGGTCTCATTAATCTATAAATGGTTCCCTGGTAAATCGTTTTGGCTGAGGGCAAAGTGAAGTTTCATAACTTTATATTTAGGCTATTTTTAACATTGTATCCTGCTGTATGTTTGACTGAAGCTACTTCTGTTATAATGGCTATTACTGATCAATAAAACTGAAATTTAACAAAAAGAGTTAAATATTAAAGTCACTATTTAGCTTATTTTTTATTGTGTATATTCTGTAATTGATATTTCTTATTCTATTGCTATTATTATAGTATTATTAATAAACTATGCTATTATCAATATTTTTATGATTGTATTATTGTACTTATGATATTATATAATTATACTATTCATTACTATTTTATTTGCTGTATACTATTTGTTTATTTTATTGACTAAACTATTTACTATTACTTCTCACTTTATGTTATATTTACTATTTGCATTGCACTGTAGTTGTACCGAAACATATGTATTATCATAAAGGATCCATCAGTTATCTTTGTTATTGCTAAAATCTGGTCAATCACAGAAAATGCTTTTTCCACAATAAGAAAACTTAAATTATATCTCAGTATGGGGGTCTTCACCATTCTTATCCAAGAATAAAAAGCCAAATACATGACAAGCCTGAGCTTTGACCATTCTTTATTAAAAAATATCTAAGTCTAACTATTGAGATTTTAAATAACTAGAGATGGAACTTTTTGTACACCACATACAAACCACTGAAATTGATTTGATAAATTGATAAGTTGATAAATGTAAAAACAGTTTGTTTTTATCCAGAAAAAACGCAGCTCATCCGTTTACTTATATTTGATTACAGTGCAGTCTTGCCCTCCGCAAAATGGCGGACCCGTTGACGTATCGCAGCAACGTTCCAAAGCGGCCAATAGGGCGTCTATGTATTTATTATGTCTATGGTTCTCACACTGCATTGTAAAACTACCAGTCTGTGATGGGATATCAAGTCCTGTTATCTAGGCTGTTGAGCACTCTTCCTTTTAAATGTATGTTTAGTGATATAGTCATCCACCTAGGCAGCTAACAAACATTATACACAAACATCAGAACTCAACCCCCTCCATTTACATGAACTCACTTCATTAAGGCCTCAGTATCCAGGGCCAGTGTTTGGAAAAATAAACAGAGTTAACAATACTAGTGTAGAGTGAAGTTCTGCTTCAATGGTTACGAATAGATAATCATTAGTGGTGCAGCCTCTGCTGATAAATACATAGTACTGTAGTCTTTACGAAATCTGTAGAACAGAACTACAGTTGTGCTAAAATATATAGGGTTTCTCACATTTAACTTTGTTAACTCCGGGTTATAGGAAACCTGGGTTATAATGTTTTATGTTTCGTACAGTTTATTCTTTGCCCTAGGTTAGGAATTATTCCTGGCCATTCAGGTTTTTGAGAGTTTAACCCTGGGTTAACTTTCTTATTTGCATATTTACGGTATCAATATCACTGATTGGATGAACTGTTTAAATAACAGCTTGTCCCACTCCTGCACAACAGATTTATTACTGAATATACATTTTTAGACCAGGATACAATTTTTTATTTCACTTTTTTTATGTCACTGTTTGACATTTAGATTTTTCCCTAAAAGTTGTAAACTAAATATGATAACCCAGGGTTAAGCACAGTGTGAAAAGCCCATATATGTCATTCAGTATGAGCTTTGTTTATTGTGTAATATACACAGTGCTTGTAGCTATCAGAACATTAGCAAGAGGACAACACACGTCATATGTATGAAAGAAATGTGAGAAAACTATATATCATTTTGGAATGTACGGTTTGTTTCCATTTTTTGTTCCCTCTTTTAATCGTTATTGACTTTGAGATTATGCATGTGCAATCTGTAATAACCAGCCTGCCTATTCTCTGATGTTCCTCTCCTGTTCATTTCTTTTAAGTGTTTGCCGAGCTAACCTGCCTTTACACGCTGGACTCACCCGTGTGTGTCTGACCGTCTGATCTGTTTCTGGTACCTCTCTGATGGGGATCATAAGATTATTACGCCATATCAACTCTGTGGAAATACAGATCACAAGACTTTTATCGCATTTCCAGTCTGCACAGCGGAAGGATTGAAATCTAGATTCACTAGTTCCCCTGCCCATTCAGGCTTAAAGGTTAATAGTAAACTAACTTGGCTTGCTGTCCTTGGAGGAGGCTCGAACTCGAGGCTCGGCTTGAGCTCCGAGTTAAAACCCCCCTATGGTGGAATTGCACATAAGAGGATAGAGATAGTTTACTGGAGGAGGAGGGCTGCCGGAAGAATTTGTCAATGGGATGACGTGGTGTCTGCTGCTTATATAGTACGCTCGTAATGATGATTGATAGGAGTGAATGTTTAGGCTCCTCCCAAACCTACGTTTGGAACTTCATTTAATAGATTTGTCACTTCAAATGCTGTCCTGTTGTACATTAAATTGGAATATGATATATGGTAAAGTACCATGTCAAGCTAAAGAGACCGTTTGAAAGGTTTATTGTAAAGTTCAATAACTTTATTTGATTTACCAAAACTGACGGGAACACAGGCGGGGAAATTGGTTATCTGTAAAAGTGGGATGAGACGAGTCGGACGACACATGAACGTGGAAAAGGTCTATTGTGGAAATGCAGCTATGATTTTTAAATGTTACAGCTAAAAGGAAGATTTATATTTCATCATTTTTTATAATAGTCAATGGAACCGTGGATCAATTGTAAGAAAGATGAAATGTCAGAAAAAGATAAATGTAACAATGTGTATTTATAAAGGGGTCCTGTATTTAGTGGTCACAGCAGTTGTTCAGTTGAGTGCATAGCTTAGAAATAAAGCTTGGCTGGGTGGGATATCTCTTGCCCTCCCCCTTTCCTGATGAAGAAAGGAGTAATCTAGTTTGCTGGCAGCTCTGAAAGCTACATTGATCTAATTTTAAAAGCTTGAGAGAGATGTAGGGCTTGCGGCATCAAAATGGCTGAAATAAACATTCAGTTGAGGGATCCTACTGCATATGCCTGTGCACGTTACCCATTCAGACACGCCCTGTTTCATTTTAATCCAATTAAAGAGCTACAG